GGCCAGCCTGGCAAACCCGTTGCCATGACCAGCCACAATTCTGGCCAGCTTGGCAAGCCTGCTGCCATGACCAGCCACAATCCTGGCCAGCCTAACAAGCCAGCTTTCATGACAAGCAACGATGACGAATCTGCAAATTCTAATTTGTTCAAAATAAGCCACAATCCTAGCCAACCCAACAAGCCAATTGCTATGACGAGCCATAACCCTGGCCAACCTGGCAAGCCAGTTGCCATGACCAGTCACAACCCCGGCCAACCTAGCAAGCCAGTTGCCATGACCAGCCACAAGCCTGGCCAGCCAGCCATCATGACCAGCAACAACAACGTATAATCTGCAAATCCCAATTTGTTCAAGAAGCACCCATTACCTGAACGCCTATTAATTAATTAGTTAATTAATTCAGGGGATCCATCGTGATCAAACATTAATTATACGTTGTCATTTATTGTGTTTATATAAAGATAAAGATCGTGCTTAATTAAGCCGACTTATATTATATATATATGAAGATTAGTTAATTTCTTTAATTATTTCATCTTCTTCTGTCTCATATTAGTTCCATCTAACTCTTTAGATTTAACAAATGAGTGGTTGTTTGAAAAAAAAGTATTTTTTGAAAAATGTTTTCCCTATTTCCTTGTGTTTGGTGGCATAAAATTGAGCATTTTATGTGCAAATTTGGTCACATTTATACACTATTCACCACTGAAATGAGAAATTAAGAATGAATTTCCATACATTTATTATATGTAATGCATGTTACACCTATTATATTGGAAATCCAAAACATCTCACATTATCTTGACTATACAACATTCATCTTCTATGTAATGCGTGTTACATTCTCAATGTAAAATTATTCGGTCTTATTAACTCTTTTGTTTCATCAATTTATGAGCTTCTCTACCCCATAATCTGTTCTGTCTCAGCTATTATGAGTCCCACTCCACCATTGGAATTGAAAAATAGACAGCCACAGGAATTCAGAGTGAAACAGAGTGCTCCACACAACTCCTGTTTCGCAATAGCGTGCTGGAGGCCAATGCCGTTCATCTTATGCAAATTACCTTTCTATTACAAATCCAGTACTAGAAACCTGCCATTTTGTAAATAATAATCCTTTTCAACCATCAAGACATTACACCACCCATCCAAATCAAGCGCCAAGTTAATGAACTTCGTTGTCCTTAATCATGTCAATCCATCCATTTGACTAATTACATATGTTAATCGACTATGTTAAAACAATCCACACCTAATTAACTAAACATGCCAATAGACATTATAAAAACAATCAATCTACCTTTAACCCACTCAATCAGACATGTTAACCGGATTTGACCTGTAAAATTAAACGTCTTAGGTATGGAAATATCATAACATTGCTTAAAACTTTTGTTCAACTGTTAAAATTTCTAAATCTAGGAGTGCTTGCGCCATGCCACCATCAACATGGTATGAAAAGGCCATCGCTGTTTTCCTTCCATGCCACAGCTACTTGCATGCCACTTCTGTTCTTCCTATTTTAGTTTGTGTATCTTTGAGGATAATTTAAGCACATGTTATTGTCATGTACAGAAGACAAATAAGTAGATGATTATAAACTATACATAATAAAAATAAACAAGTAATCTTCTTGTCCTATGATCAGATTAGAGGTGGGCTTACATTCAACCAGTGGCATTAGCAAAACAATCTAAATCACATGTTACAGCTGGATCAAATAAAAGAATAAATATACGAAATGGAGAAGAAAAAGGAAAGGAAGACTAAGGCCCTGTTTGGGGGAGCTTCCTGATTCTAAAAGTCCTTTTACCGAATAGGCTTTCAGAATGCATTTTAATGAAAGGAATTTCAAACAAAAAAGATGTTTGGTAAGTGCATTTTTTGAAGTTCTTTTAACTATTAACACAATTTAACTTGACAATATTATCCTCAATAAAAATATATATATATATTTTCAAATCCTAAAAAATTCATGAATAGTTCATAATTGAATAATATAGGGGTAACAAGATAGGGAAAAAATCAATAATTGAAGTAATGGAATGAAAATCGCTAGAGCAACAAGTAATTGATATTCATACTTCAATTGTTGATGCTTTCACCGTCATTACACTTTTCACTGTTTTAAACTTCCATTGATGGTATACATATTGACCTGATAAGTTGAAAAATAGAAAAAAAAAAAAAAAAAAAAAGAAAAAAAAGGAGGGGGGGGGGGGGGGGGGGGGGGGGGGGAATAAAAAATAAAACAGAGATTGTAGCAAAAGTATCTAGATTTCATTCTTATCTACAGCTATAATAGAAACCCTAATTTTAGAATCTTGTTAAATGAATTTCATCAATTTCATGCTTGTTATTCCTTAGTTCTTATTGTGGCGGCTCCCAGATTGCTCATCCCTTACTTTAAAGAAGAAAGTAATGGGGAGTTGGACTTCAATTAAAAATCGATTCAGTTAAAGTCGCACAAAGGTTATATAAATCCAACCAGACGTTCAATTAAGGATAAAAAAAAGAATATATATATATATATATAGACAGAGAGAGAGAGAGAGAGGTTGTACACAATTCCACAGAGAGTTAAATTGGATGAGAGTTGACAAATTTAAATTGGATGAGAGTTGACAAATCTTATAACCTTTTGAGATGAACTGAGATTCAATTTGTATCTTTTCTGCACCTCAACGTTTTGTCTTATGTTCTTCCCTTATTTTAAAAGGTTAAAATTGTAATAAAAAATTTATTACTTATTCAATAACTTGATTTCCAAGAAGCTAAGAAGCAGGTTTTAGTTTAGTTGCTTCCCTTAAACAGGCTTTCAAGGAGATGAATTTTTCTGAAGCGCGTTTAAAATTTTTACCAAACAAGTGTACATTGCTTAAAGCGGGCTTTTTAAGTGTAAAGGCCCGTTTTGAGGGGGTGGAAGCTCCCCAAACAGGGCCCAACTTTTTTTACTTTACTGGCTTCCCTGTGTTTCTTGGCTTAAATAATTGTGAGCCAATAACACGTGCGCTGCACTACGACCAAAGCGAAAATATCACCAACCTTCAACCAAAAAATAAAGGACCACACCAAGGCCATTGTGCAAGCCACCATCCATCGGCACTTGAAATCATGAGAAAGAAAAGAAGTTTAGTTTCTAAGATGGAATTGGAAATGAGTTTTTCTAAGATGGAATTGGAAATGTTATCCCATATTCCCAACTATTAAAAGCATCAAAAAAGAGACCTAAAATTTAAATATATGTGTGTGTGTGTGTGTGTGTGTGTGTGTATAAAACACGTGACGAATCAACAGGAAACAATCTACAAATGCATATCCATATGAACTCATGAAAGACACTTTAACCAAACCAAAGAGGTAGAGGAAGGTCTTTAGAGTGTAGATTTATTCAGTTTCCGGCAAAAAAACCCAGAAGAATCAAACAGAAACCCAAAACAAAAAGAATATAGAACTAATTGCTGGCCTTTGGAGAATTGGACTGGCAACTAAAAATTATCAGCATAAAGTGGGTGCCCTCTATGAATTCATATTATCTGCCAATTCAAGTATTAATCACAGTTGAACCTAACAAATCTCTCTGAATCAACTTGTTCATTTTTTATGCTAAGTCCCTCAAATCAACTCAATTGAGGAAGAAAGTTTATATGTTTATCAACGGGCTCCAAAATCATAGGTTCAGAAAATATGATAGGAAGTCAAGTCCTAAGGGCCCCACTCTTAAATAGCTACTGCCATAAACAGCTCCCATCTATTAAAGGCCACACTGACCGCAAGCTCTGAACAACATGAAAAAACTACATCAACAGCCACCACCACCAATTCTTTTTCCAATTAATTGGAATCGGCCACGTTAATCTCATGTTTCCATTCTGCTCTATTTCTCATATTTCCATTCTACTCTATTTGAGGCCATACCCTCAGTCAATCTAGATGTTACCATATATTTCTTTTACTAACTCTACCTACGTTAATTTTGTTCTTTCTCTTAACCTCATTTTACTCTCAATGTAGATTATGTCACTTTTCCTAATGAGAGTACTGAAAGGTCTTCTTTGAACACGTCCAAACCACGACTGGTGCTACTCCAACCATCTCCCGAATGTTATCATTTCTAATTCTATTCTTTCTACATCTTACCATGCATCTATCTCGATCAACATTCTCAATTCTGCCACACTCACTTTATGCAAGCATTGTTTCCTAGCAGCCTTATATTTGATAGCATAAAGTATGGTTGATCTAATAGCAATTCTATAGAACTCCCCCTTCAATAGCAGGGGCAAACACCTATCACACAATATACTAGATGCACTCCTCTATTTAATCCATCCTGTCTTGATTCTATGATTAACATCATCTCCAATTTAACAATTGGGACTAAATAATGAAAATCTTCACTCTCAACAAAATGAAAAACTGACCCCACAAAAAGGAAAATACAATAGTTGCTGCTAGCTAAAACAGATTACGGTTTCTGACCCTCTAAGGCTAACTATATCTAACAATGTTTCATAAAAAAACTCAAAAAGAGTTGCGCCAACGCAAAAACAGAAAGAAAAAAAAAAAAGACCAAAGGAACATTTCCTGCTACAGTAAGACGTTCCATTTGAAGATCTACTTTGGAAGAAATTGAAATAATCATGCACTTTTAATTGTTCAATATTTACAGAACTCTTTTGATGTTTTCTGAAATTCTCACGACATATCTCAAATTAGAGCATCAACAATATATAGTTAAGATCACATAAGATTTCATTTTCTATTTGACAGATTTTTTAAATCAGTAAGTACTATACAACAAGATATTCGGATTATTTTGTGAAGATAAAATAAGCAGCTCTACAAATGCATAAAGCTGGAAAAGATGTCACAACATTAGGCATGAAAGGCAACAACTGCCCTGTCCCTCTCAAGCCCCTTCCCTCCCCTAGTACAAATAGCTGAATAAGTTTAACTATACATGTACAGGAACATAAGAAAGCACATGCATGTGGTCAGCATCAACGTTGTTTTAAATTTACAACTTCGGAAGTGGAAACCAAAATTTCCAGAAAAAAAAACTATATGAATCCAAGCTTTGTCCCATAGTTGACAACCAATCATGAAGTAGACAATTGGAGAAGCTCACACACACACACACAGATGTTAGTATATAATACTCACCAGATTTCATACTCAGCATTACGATAATTAAACACTTCCCTTGGGCACAGATGTAGTGTTAACAGGATCAAGAACAAAATCCAAAAGGTAATGCCAATAATATCAAGTCCACAAAAATAAGCCATCCCAAAAAAATAAATTGCAAATGCTACAATCCATCGCTGCACCGTATACACAATGATTTTATCCCTCCACCGTTGCATAAGAGGTGCACAATAACAAGCCAGCCCCATTCATGCTGAACAAACAGCATCCTTAATTCCCTTCACCCGATTAATAAAAACTTTTTCCCTGTTGAATATCCATATCCATATCAATACATGATGTAAGAACACAAAAAAAAAAAAAAAAAAAAAAAAAACCTTGGCAGAAGAATAAATGTACTTAAAGTCCATTCACTAGAGTAGTAAAATTGTTAACTTCTTCTCCCCGTTGCATGTATAACCATTCATGAAGATACAACCATAAAGGTTAATTTATTGAATTGAAAAGGCAATATTCCAATGGTATAACCTCTCTCCTCCTTCAAAGGGGAGGTGACGGGTTCCAGCCCTAGTTACCAATATGTTAAATTTGTGTGTGAGTACATACCTAAGAAGGGGGGGAAAAAAAATCAACAACAATAATAAAAAATAAAATGTTAATAATAATAGAAAGAAAGAATCAGAAAAGAAAATTTATGAATTTAAAAAGAAAAAGAGAGAACAGTAGTAGTATTAAATTATAATTAGGTTGATGTAGGCGGTGAGATTGGGAATATATATATATTTTTTGATAAGTAAAATTTATTGAAGAATTGCTCAAAAGGGGAGCGGACCCAAGTACAAAAAACAAGGCCAAAACGCCTCAAGCTTTCAAAGAGGCCAAAAAAACAACCAACTCCTCTACAGATCGAAAATCCCTCCTTGAAACCCAACAAAAAAGAGTGGAAAGAATAGAGAACTTAAGCATAGAGATAGGCTTTTCCTTTCCATCGAAGTATCTCTTATTTCTCTCAAGTCAAATACACCACCCTCCAAGTGTCCCGAATGAGAACCCCCACTGAAAATCCTCTCTAAGCCTCTATCAACCCTCTAGTGGAGCTAGGCATCACCCACGGGATCCCAAACAACCCAATCATCAAGTCCCAACAGCCCCTAGCCATACTACAATGTAGCAGAAGGTGATCAACAGTCTCCTCATCATGCAAATACAAATAACATCTATTAATCACCACCTGGTTCCTCCTCCTAAAATTATCCTAGGTTAAAATTCTACCCAAGACAGAAGTCCACGCGAAGAAGGCCACCTTGAGGGGGGCTTTGGATCGCCAAATAGACTTCCAAGGGAAATAGCCTCCAGCGCCAACCGTAAGACACTTGAAAAAGGACCTCACCTCGAATCGACCCTGAGGGTTGGGTATCCAAAGCCAACAATCAGGATCCCTAGCAGCGATCGTATGACGGTACAGAAAGGCTAAAAATCAGGTTACCTCCTCAATCTCCCAATCCTGGAAGTGCCTCCTAAACTGAACATCCCATATCAGTCTCCCGTTATCAAGATGATAACAGTCAACCACCAAGGCTTGCTTATGAGAGGCAATCTTGTAAAGCCGTGGGAAAGCGAGCGCAAGAGGAAGATCCCTACACCAAAGATCCTCCTACCATCCCTGATTCGAAAACGAACATACTTACAGAAATCATCCCACCCCTTCTGAATGCCAGTCCAAACCCCCACCCCCCTAGGACCACAACCAACGAGAGAACACCACCCTCCACTGCTCTCCCCAAATTTATGTGCAATAACCCTCCTCCAGAGCCAACGCCTCTCCACCCCAAACCTCCAAAGCCATTTCCCAAGGAGAGCCTTGTTGAAAGGCAACAACCTCCTAATCCCTAAGCCACCCCTTTGAATAGGACAACAAACTTGCTCCCAACGAACCAAGTGAAACTTGAACTCCTCCCCTCTTCCCTCCGAAAGAAAATTGCGCTGCAATCTTTCAATCCTCTCTGCCACAAAGGAAGGAATCTGAAAGAGAGATGAAATAAGTGGGGAGACAAGAAAGGGTACTCTTAATCAGAGTGACCCGACCCCCCTTAGAGAGATACTGCTTCTTCCAACCCGCTAATCTTTTCTCAAATCTATCCACAACTGGATCCCAACTCCCCACACATCTCGAAGGGGCACCCAGGGGCAACCCTAAGTAGGAAATAGGAAAAAAGCCAGTGCGACAATCAAGAATTTGTGCCAACCTCTCAATCTCAGGGACCTCCCCAATCGGCACAAGAACACTCTTACCAACATTCACCTTTAACCCAGAAATAACTTGGAACCAGACCAAAACACATCTCAGATATCTCAACTGATATGCATCCGCATCATAGAGCACTAAAGTATCATCAGCAAACATCAAGTGGGAACTTTCCAACTGGCTAGTAGCATCCCTGCCCACTCTAAAACCTCTCAAGAATCCCTACTCCATCGCCCGTTGAATCAATCTACTAAGGCTTCCATCACAAAAAGGAACAAGAACGGAGAAATAGAATCCCCTTGTCTTAATCCCCTCGAACTAGAGAAAAAACCGGTCGGAGTTCCATTAACAAGAATTGAAAAACAAGCACTAGAGATGCAAAACAAAATCCATCTCCTCCACCGCTCCCCAAATCCCATCCTCTTCATCAAGTAAAGGAGGAAACTCCAGCTCACATGATCATATGCCTTCTCGATATCTAGCTTGCATAAAACACCCGGATTCCCACTACTCAATCTGGAGTCAACACATTTGCTAGCTATAAGAACTGAATTCAATATTTGCCGACCTCCCACAAAGACATTCTGAGAATCAGAAATGACACCATCTAAAACCTTCCTTAACCTAGAGGTCAGGACTTTAGCAATCAACTTGTAAATACACCCCACCAAGCAAATAGGGCGAAACTCCCTGACATCCAACGCCCCGCCCTTTTTCGGAATGAGAACAATAAAAGTGGCATTCAAGCTCTTCTCAAAAGAGCCCTGGGCATAGAAGGCATGAAAAGTACCCATAATCTCCTCACGAACCATCTCCCAACTCTCCAAAAGAGAACTCATGGAGAAACCATCTGGACCTGGGGCTTTATCCCCATTACAGCTCTTCAATGCGGACAACACTTCCTCTTCAGAAAATGGCTCCTCTAGAACAGAACTTTTTTCACTCGATAGAGAGTCAAAATGAAGCCCTATGAGCAAAGGTCTCCAACCGGCTAATTCTGTGAACAATCTTGAGTAGAAATCTGCAATACCCTTGCAAATCTCCTCCTCCTTACATAACACCTCCTTATCCACTCGGATTCTCCCAATATGATTTGCCCCTTCTATGAGCATTAGCAAGTCTATGAAATTTTTTTGTGTTCTTATCCCCTTCCTTGAGCCACAAAGCTCTAGAATTTTGCCTCCACGAAATCTCCTCCAAAACAACAATCTCAGCAAACTCCGCCTGACACTCTACCCTCATACATTTCAAGGAGTCCGACAAAGATCCTTGACCCTCAATCCGATCAATAGCGGCAATCTCTGAAAAGACCCTATTCTTCCGCCAAACCAGATTACCAAAAACCTCCTTATTCCAAACTTTAAGATCGCTCTTCAACAGACGAAGCTTACTTGCGAGAGAATGACTAAGGGAGCCACTCACACAATACCCCTCGCACCAAGATCAAACCCTCTCCAGAAAACCTTGAGCTCGAAGCCACATATTCTCAAATCTGAAAGGGGATTGTCTACTACGCAACCCACCACAATCCAACATCACCATAACATGATCAGATAAAGGGTGAGCCAAAGTGGCCTGAACAACATCCGAGAACTTCTTCTCCCAATCGCTTGACACAAGGAACTAGTCAAGACAAGAGAAAGTATGAGGAGAACGACCACTAGACCACGTAAAAGGACCACCCACCAAAGGCAAATCAATCAATCTCCACTCATCAATGAACTTTGAGAATGACTCCATTTTAAATGTCCATCTTCCCCCTGTCGACCTCTCAAAAGGAGAAAGGACAACATTAAAGTCCCCTCCAACACACCAAGGCAACTCCTATTGTCTATGGACCTCACCCAACTCCTCCCAAAACAAATGTCGTACATTGTCTTCTGTAGGGCCACAAACATCAGAGAAGGCCCAACGAAAACCATCCTCCAACAAAGAGAGAACGCAAGAAACAGAGAAGAGCCCCACTTGAGTGTCTCCCAAAGAAACCCAACGGTTATCCCAAATGATAAGAACGCCACCTGCAGAACCAATTGCATCCAAAGCAATCCACTCCACAAATCTCCACTCATCAATGAACTTTGAGAATGACTCCATTTTAAATGTCCATCTTCCCCCTGTCGACCTCTCAAAAGGAGAAAGGACAACATTAAAGTCCCCTCCAACACACCAAGGCAACTCCTATTGTCTATGGACCTCACCCAACTCATCCCAAAACAAATGTCGTACATTGTCTTCTGTAGGGCCACAAACACCAGAGAAGGCCCAACGAAAACCATCCTCCAACAGAGAGAGAACGCAAGAAACAGAGAAGAGCCCCACTTGAGTGTCTCCCAAAGAAACCCAACGGTTATCCCAAATGATAAGAACGCCACCTGCAGAACCAATTGCATCCAAAGCAATCCACTCCACCCACCTCCCCCCCCCCCCCCCCCCCCCCCAACACCCAAGCTTCTCACGATTAAGTCCGTCATCGATGCAATCTTAGTTTCTTGTAAACACACAACATGCCCACCCTCTTTCCGAATCACCGACTTCACAACTTTTCTTCTCTTCGGGTCATTGAGACCCTGGACGTCCTTCATGAGGAAACAGATGAAAAATCACTCCCACTCCTTCCACCGTCCCTCTCCCTGGACCCTGCTCCTCCTTTCATAAGTGACGACATCAATGGGACTCCTCTCCTCCCTCTCCCCCACCTCAACTCGCAACCCATCCCTTCTACCCGCCCTCTCCAAAATCTGAGGATCAATAATCTCATTAAACAATCTTCGCCTCATCCAACCTACCTTCAAACGACACACCCAAAAGAGAACCCACCTCTCCACCCTTCTCTCTCAACCATTCCTCTTCCAAACTCCCCTTACCCACACCAACAGCTGATACTTCCATGCATTCCCCCTCCGGCCCCATCACAGCCAAAGGGACAACACAGTCAAAATCATCACCACCCCCTTCCCACTGAACCAAGCCCAAATCCCCTTCAAAGAAGGAACTTGAGCCTCCCTCCCAAGCATCGGAAGAGGAAGGGGAGTCGCAAGTCAAAGGCGTCCCAGCCTCCTCA